TATATTAGATAACCTGAGAATTTGCCAGCAAGTGGAGGGGGGTGATCCTTCTCAGCCCTGGTGATTCTGCAGCTGCAGTACTGTACCCAGTTCTTGGTCCATCCGTTATAAACACAAGGCAGAAGTACTTGTGAGTAGTGAAGGGCCACTCTCTTAATTTTTGCTCTAAATGCTGCTTGTAATTAAATGTAAAATATTTTTCAGAGTTAGAAGCACTATATAAGGCATTATTGGCATCACCAGTTGACAGAGGAAGTATCTTCTGTCAAGTCCTGTTTCATTCATTCAGTGCCGGACAGTTCTTGCTGATGCTTTTTGCAATGTACCAGCACCCACCTGTCATTCAAATACTGCTTTGTCAGTAGAATAAAATACAAATAATAAAAGATGTTTTTTCTGATCTTAAGAACATGCAGTTACTGTTTTTGTGAAGTACTGATGCTTCCTGGGTGGTACACAAAAGGATGCTCAAGAGGACCTCTGTGTAGCTATATACCTGAAATCCCCTTAGGAAGTGGAAGGAAGGTAGAGAGAAAAATATCCTGTGACTACTTCAGAGCTGATAATAAGCAACTTAATACAATCTTAATTTCATTAGGCAAATCTTTTTAGCCTCCCACAATGTAACCTGGCCTAGTTGGAATGCAAAATCTCAAGTAAAGATTTGGAGTGCCAAATTTAACTGTCGCTTTCTGAAGTAGGCACTAAATAAACATAATAGCTACTTACTTTGGACACATCCATTCTGGAAGCTGTGAATTGACCTCCTCTGCCCACCAGCATGCAGAGCTTCTGCTGAGAGCTGCAAAGAACAGTCATGGCCAGCGTGTCCTGCTATTCTCAGATAATGAAAGCTTGCTGCTGAGGAACAGAAAGCACCACTGCTGAACCTTGCAGAGGAATCAGTAGTAAATAATCAGGTATAGAAGGAAAATATAGGATGTCTATGTACATATAAAGCATCATTTAAACTGCTGGACTCAATTGTTGAGGGAGGCTCAGTTTGCCCAGGTTTCTGTTGCTTTACTGAATAGAAGTTAGCTGCACTTTAAGGCAGATGATTGTGCAGGTGAAGATGTGTTTTAGCAGTAGCTCTGCTAGTCATAGTTTTCATAATCTCTAGTGAATCTTGCGTCTAAAAGGGTCTATAAACAGCCTTTTGTCTAAAAATGTTGTTTCTACGCACTTAGAAGTGGGTTTCTTGCAAGAAAAGCATTCTCAGGTGGAAGAAAGAGATGGAAAATATTGATATTTTCCACCAACTTCCTGCAGCTTTTGTTGGAATAAACATCGGTTTCCTGAATTTTTTCTTCTTTTTTAATACTCACCTTCTATCCATTCCTCTTATATGACCCCTCTTGTTCTAGAGACTAATGATTACTCTAAATTATGACTTATATCATGCGGTTTGATGAATATCCAAAGTAAAATAGTAACAGCCCTCTAAGCCCCTGATCAACCACTCAGATTTTTGGGTTTGTCACCCAAGTCTGTGGGTAGTAACTGCTCAGTTCCTCCCTTGGCCAGGCCATACAGACAGGAGGACAAAAGGGAATGCCAGTTAGTACTGCTGTGGGGCTGTAAAAAGCACTGTAATTAATACCACCAGCAGCAAATGTAATCTCAATTTAGCACTGTCCTGCTGGGATCTTTGCTGACTTGAAATGCCTCCTAATGCTGCTGCTTTCTTCCCTTGTCTGAACTCATGTGGGAAGGTTTAATCCTGCTCAAAGGGGAATTTCTTCATTGCTGGGTCAAATAGGGGGAAATGAGTTAAGAATCACCTGAGCCTGCATGGACCTGGATGTAAAGGAGGGGCACGGAATTCAATTGGATTCACTGGGAATGTAGCCATGACCACTTACAGGTAGTTCAGTAGAGCTTCATCTAGCATATGTGTGAAGAGATCCTGCCTCTGAATTAGCATTGTTATCAAAAACACTGGCTCAGTTTTAGAAGATAAAATCTGTAACTCATGCAGGGGAGCTGGCTGAGGTCTTAATTATCTGTAGAAAGCTGTATCAGAAATGCAGGGAGTGGTAGCTGGTGATCTCTTGTTGTATTATCCCCTACAGTTGCCTTTGCCCCCTACTGCAGTTAATGAGATACAAGGGCTGTGACACTGACCCTGTGTGATGTTAGATCATGTGGCAATTTGTATTTGTAGATCCCTTTTTCTTTGCCTTCAAACGAGCTGGAAACGATATGGGGGGCGGGGGAGGTATAAGAATTATCATGTCGTTAAGCAGTCGGTTTCTTCTGTTTTCCTATTTATCCCACTCTTTTGCAAATGTATCAAATAGCTACAAAGGGGAATTTCCCAATTTGTTGTTTTTGCTAGTTTGTTTTCTAATGTATAGCTTTGCAAAGTAGTTTTGCAGTTATTACTGCAGTTCCTGCTCTGAAAGTTTGCAGTTATTCAATTAGTTTGCACTCCTCACCTGCCCTAGATTTTTCCTTACAGAAAAGGGAGGAGGACATTTTACTACAGGATTTTCTATTCAGTTTTCTGTATTTTTCTAAAGTCTATTTCCCTTCATCTTTTTCAGGTTCTATCTGTTAACAAATTCCTAGAAAACGGTATGGTTTTAATTTTGACAATTTATGGCAAGACGTGATTTCGTGTGGGTTTTGTCCATTCGGCGGAATACATTTCAGATGAAAGAATTCTTCTAAAACCAGAGGCCAGGCTTTCCATTTAGCAGGGCATTCATTGATTACCTGCTTTGAATGCTATAAACGTAAATCCTTTCCAGAAACAGTTTCACTCACCTTCCTGGGGCTGCTTGTCAAGTATTTCGTGGCATACGCTTGTTACCTTAGCAACTTGCAGGGGTTAAACGATTGACGAGGAGAGAACGGTGAAGAACAGTCTTACAGATTCCACAGGGTTTTTCTGTTTTCCCCTAATGGCAGAGAGTATCTGCTAGCAGAAGGAACAGTTTCTGGTTTTCCATGTGATACAAAATACCATTACAGAATTTCAAATTGCTGGTGTGTTGACTAGAATTTGAATGAGTGCTAACCTGGTTACCAATGGAAAAAGTATTTGCAATTCTCTTATAAACTTGCACCCATGGGAGTGAGGAATGAAAAAGGACTGTTTTCTAGTTCTGGCAGAAATGAGCATTAGGATTCAGCTTGCAAAGCTGAAGTTGTGTGGTCCCCCCTCCTGAAGATCAGAATGAGGATCAGAGCAGAGGAGAGTCAAAGGGAGAAAATTTGTTCCCAATTTGAATTTTACTTCTATTTGCAGTTTGATTTCATAAAACATCAATCCTATTCGTTAGTTAGCTGCTTCCATCACAAATCTTTGCTTCGTCTGTAAAGTGTGCACTTATTCAGCACCATCTAGTGGACCAACTTCTATTTAAACGTAGCAAACAGCTGGTCTTGGCAAACTCAGCAGCAAATCGAGCACGCAGTCTTGATAATGTGAATAATATACCCAAAATATGTTTGTGACCAATTACTAACAGAATAAGATTAGCAGTCATTTCATTGATATGGCATGCTATGAAGGAAGTAAATGTTATGATATGTGCCAGCATCGTTGCCCATTACCTATTGAATTCCTCTAGTCTATTAAGCCCCCAAGCTTTTTTCACTGTTTCTCTGCTTTACCATGAGGTCTCATCTAGGTCTCAAGTATTTCCTTATGCATGGCCACAGAGAATGCAGAACAGCCACATTGTCATAGTGCTACAGATGGTGAGGGCTGACTGGTGCTAGCCATGAGCTCTGAAGTCCTCGCATGAGGAAAAATGTTCTGGAACCTAAGATGTTGGCAAGGAATTCAGTGTTTGGATCTTTGAAAAAGTATGAAAAAGACAATACTATAACAAAGTTCTCCTGTGGTATATGTGCAAAAGGCCAGAGAATTGCCAGGTCATCCCTGTGGCTGTTTCAGGACTTGTGAACAGATCAGAGTCTCTGCTCAGGTCAGGGAACAGGTTCTCTGTGCATGTTCTCCAGCAAAAGGGCTGAATCTTCAAAACAATAAATGCCTGTAAAGAAGGACTGGGTGTTTCTTCAGCCTGTGTTACATCACCCAGCATCTCACCGCTCTCTTCAGTAAGGTTCATCTGGCGGTCAGTGAGCACTGGAGGACAAATCAAAACTTCCCAGTGGCATGTTGGTAGGGTAATGGTGTAAGGAGAGCTTGGCTTCTCCAAGAGCTGAGGTGACTGCTAAACATGGAAGCTAAGCACTGATGCATTATCATAGTAAATGCACTAAGTTGTAACAATGATGCTTTAAATTTCCTCGCATTCTTACAGTTCTTCACTTTAGGGACTGTTGATTTTTTTTCAGCCTGCGTATTATGGACAATGAAAATAAAAACAAGTGGGTCAGTTCTACCCTGTGAATCGTATGCATTAGCACAATAACACTGTCCTGAGGTTTCTAAAAAGCTATTTTTAAATAATTCATGGAAGCATTTCACTTCAGTTTTCCAAAGCCTCCATGAACAGACTAGTTTGTTTCCCGTGTTTAAGGAAATGTAGCACTTAAATAGCACTCTCTTTCTTTTCTAACTTTTCAGTGTAGCACAGCAGTCAGAATAATGCCTATCAGCTGTCTTCACCACAGCAGGGCATTGCAACATAACCTCTATGGTCACAAGTGACCAATTTTTGAAATAAAGAAAATAAATACATGGGGATTTCCCTTTTCAGGTATCGAGTTTGGAACAATAGCCATGAATGCTGATGGTAGTGGATGTGTTCATCCACCTGAACGAGTGAAACGCTGTAGGAAAATCCACTCCCACTGACTGCAGCATGAAAAGAGTTGAGAAAGGGAGAAATGTTTAAGTGAAGTTAGTGGCGGGAATCCTGTTTTCTGAGAGGTTTGGAGATAAATCCTGTATGCTGGAAAATAACCATTTACAAAGGACATGGCTCTTCTTTTGTAGTAGCTGTGAACCAAACTTTTACATATTGGAAGTCAAGAGAACACATTCATTATTTTCTTTTTTTTCTCTGTTTCTCTTCTAGCTCTGGGATTGTATACAGTAAATGCAGTATATGGAGACACTATTACTATGCCTTGTCGTCTAGAAGTACCAGATGGTCTGATGTTTGGAAAATGGAAATATGTAAGTATAGCTTATATTTTTATTCAATAGGACTGGTATAAGAAAATGTGTATTTGTTGCGTGCGAGTCTACAAGATTTCAATCCATGGAATTTCTGCCTCGTATACAAAGTCACTTGTTTCTGTGTTTCTAAGACTGCTAGATCCCCATCCTTCTGCCAAGTATAGATGAGAGCTTTGAGAAATTAATCTCATTGTTCAAGAGAAATAATTGTTGGGGAGTTGTCTGCCAACCTGCGTTAGAAACCTGGCATGTTACCCAGTGACATCTCACTTGCTCGACAGAGCCACCGCTGTACATTTGAATGCTTTTGAAGCAGGCTGCCTGAGGCAGGGCATGCTTCATCCCTGGGAAAATGCTGTCCCCATGCTCAGTTGATGTGACAGTTGCCTGCACAGTGCTGTTTCATGGCTGAGTGTATTTTATGCGCAGTGAATAGTGTAGAGATGACCTTAGCAGAGTTACAGTGATCTCCTGCTGGTTTTCCCTGCTTCTTTAAGTTGATCTAGATCTCCTCTCTTGCTCTGGTGTTACCAGCAGTAACAGGTGATTTCTACTCTGACACTGGATTTAAAATTATGTAGTCCTTTCTTCGTAGATGGTATCCATTAGCATATTCTAAAGCAGAACAATCTGCAATTAGTGTGTCATCCCCCTGCCTCTTTCCCTCATGGCTACAGGTTTGCAGCATTTACTGAACTTGTACACTTCAGTTCCTGCTCTGCAAGCAAGTGTTGGGATGTAAAATCACAAGTCTGTGGAGAATGTTTCCCTGAAAGGGCTAGTAAAATTATGTCAGATATCCATTTAGAAGATGCAAAGTCTGCATTTTGCAATGTGTTGGGTTTTTTTGTTTTGTTTTGTTTTTGTTTTCTGGTGTCATTTGGGAAGAGAGGAGTCCATGTCTATGAAGATTGATGCAAATGATGGTGAGAAGACAGATGAAAGAAAAATTCATCTATTTCCCATGCTTTTGGTTTGCTCATCTCCACCAAGTAATGAGCAGCAGTCATCAAAAGGAAATGCTACCACTTGTCCCAAGTGTGTGGACAATTTCATACAGTACTGTCTGCTGATGATGGAAAGGGACATAAACCTAATGTTCAAAAAAACCAATTGCAACTGTATGAAATTATTGATATAATCCATGTACAAACAAGGGAAGTTGATACTTTTCTCTCCCAGGGCAGCTCCCAGTGTAGCAACACTGGCTTTTAGGGTGAGGAGAGCTGGTTGGTTTGTGGATGTGGTGGTTTTTTGGGGTTTTTTTTTGGCAGTGATTATTTAATTGAAAGAAGGGGGAACCCCATTCAGGCTTGAATAGTTTAGAGCTCATTTGCACTTGACAGCCAACTTCTCTTGTAATAAGTTGAGGCAATGCCTTCTTTCCTCTGCAACAGACACTGGAATAATCCAGGATTTGAAAGTGGAAAAGAGAAAAAGACTATAAGGGAATTTAAGATTCACATTAGCTGTTGTCTCCCGCTTGTTGCCCTGGCTCTGACACCACTCATCTCCTGTCACAGCATCGTCATGCTTTTGTGGGCTCCGCAGTCAAGCTGAGATATTGTTCTGGGAGCACTGTTACTATCAGTGCCGCAAGGTGCAAGGGATTAAAGAGAACTAAAACCTTTTCCAGCTCTCAGCACAATATTGAATGTAGAGAGGGATTCAACCTTTCACCTCACCCTACTTAAAGGGGGACAATGTCTGTACCTTCTCTGTGCAGGGGGGTAATTGAATCCTGCTCAGCTCAGCTTGTACTTTTGTCTTTATCTTCAAAATAAAATTTTTATAAGGTAGGTTTGTGCAAGGCTCTCAATTTTGTATTTGTTTTCAGGATGGCAACTGAATACTGATTGATATAAGGAGGTTGTCTAGCAAATGAAGTTTTTTGGATTATACTAAAATGCATAAATAACAATATTTGCTTGTATGTATATTTTTATTCTACAAGCTATTGGGCCTTTAAAAACAAAAACAAAACCAAAAAAGCTAAAACCTAATTTAGAATAAAATAGGCAGTTATGCCTGATTAAATCCTGCATTTGGAATGGAGTCTGACTATTCCAGGCAAACAATATGAATATGTAGAACAATCATGAAAAAGGAAACTGAATCTTTTGAGCCTAGCTTATTAATGCTTCTATTTCAAATGGATTTTCCATATACTGAGAATCAGGTGGTGCCAAAACCACCAGCCTTGATCATAGAAAGCCCTGTGTTGTGCTGCAGTTGAGCCAAAGGGTTGAAATTGCTTCCACTGATGATTCTCTCAGTGTGTGCAAGAGATGGTTTATTCTAGCTGTCATATGACACTGAATTTCTTGCTCATACAGCAGAAATTAATCAGCAAAAAAAGTAATCTCCTGTACTTTTAACATTATTTTTTTTAAATTACAGCTTTGTACCGATTCCAAATATTTTGGGACTTTGAAGTGAACCTGATTGTTTATGCAAAATAGAGATGTCTATCCTTTTTTTTAATTATTTTTATAGGAAAAGCCAAACGAATCTCCGGTATTTATTGCCTTCAGATCATCAACAAAAAAGAATGTACAGTATGATGATGTACCAGACTACAAAGACAGGTTGAGTCTCTCAGAAAACTATACATTATCCATCAAGAATGCAAGAATCAGCGATGAAAAGAGATTTGTATGTATGCTAGTAACAGAAGATGATGTTTCCGAGGAGCCAACGATAGTCAAAGTCTTCAGTAAGTAATCTCGTTGTTACTGCTGTTAATATTCCTCAGTATCTGAATCTTGAATTAAGGAAACTTTTGTTTAAGGGAAAGATTAAAGCCAAGAAAGTAAGCTGGCTGAGTAAATTACTAAGACTAGCAAATTTCTGCAGCTCTCAAAAATGTAATCTACTGGTAGCATTTACGTAACAGGACTGCCTGCACTTACAGTTTATTCATGATAAGTGCTGGCTCAAAGAGAATTTTAGACTTTGATAATGACTCACTTATGTGATGTCATTTGGCCTTGGAAATGAAAAATGTAAAATTAGCATTGATTATTTTTCATTTGTTCTCTGAGTGAATTTTTCTGCAGGAGAGAAATGTTAACTGTGTGTGCTCTGAAGGATTAGATTAGCTGAGACATTTAAAGCATCTCTGAGCAGGCAGTATGCAATGGCATGACCTGTGAATCTGGGAGAGCGGAGCTGAAAAGCCAGGTGCTATCCCCTGGTAGAGTTCTGCAAGGTTTATTAGCATTTGGTAAACTAGGGATCACAGCGGAGATTTTCAGAGTGCTGAATGTGTTTGAGGTTTTGCTTTTGTATTTGTTTGTTGAAAGGGAAGCTCTGAGTCTGTCAGAAGCCTCACTTCCTGAGGCTTCTTTCTTAGCAGCTTCTGAAGATCCTTCTGTTTTTGATTACTGAAGTCAAATTGAAAGGTCTCAAAACATCTGGTCTGTTGAAAGAGCCATGTGGCATTTACACCTTTGTGAGCACTGTTGGGTCATTTTAGACTTGGAAGAACTGGTCTCTTTGCGCTCTCCAGTGTCCTGGATTTGTCTAGATTAGCAGGTTAGCAACCAGCCAGCAACAGCACCTTATGAGGAACTTTACTTTGAACTAAACCTTGCGTGCCCTGAATGTCAGTTGGTGGGAGGCATTAAGTGAACTCTGAAGCACTAGTTTTGGTTTAGCTGCACTCAAAATGAGCCAAAAGACTGTGTGCTCTGACACAGATCAGCACTGTGAACCAGAACAATCCTGCTCTGAATTTGCAGGCAAACCTGAGCTCTTCCCAGTGGTGATTCAGAAACATAATTCCTCAAAATTTGAACCACCTTACGGAGGGACATACATTGCTCTCTTTTAGGGACTCAGATCTGCTGAGGCACTTAAGTTCATACGTGCTGTCCTAAAATTGCAGTGGATGTTGTTGTCTTTATAAAAATTTTCTAGGGCTTGTTTTGGCCTTTGCTGCTCTTCAGATACAGGTTTATAGAGGCAAAGTAAGTCTCTGTCATCAGAATATGTTGCTTTCAGAGGCTGGCAGTTTCAAACAGAATCTCACAGAATCACAGAATTGCAGGGGTTGGAAGGGACCTCTAGAGATCATCAAGACCAACCCCCCTGCTAAAGCAGGTTCCCTAAACCAGGTCGCACAAGAATATGTTTTGGAAGGGAATTCCTAGGATTTTCTCTGGGAGAAAAGAAAACTTCAATGTTATCTTGACAGAAGTTTATCAGTGGCATAAGGAGTGTGAATGTAGACTGGTAGTCAACAGTAATACCATTTCCCTTGTTTCACGTTGAATTTGACCTCGAGAACAAGTGAATTAATGTCAACAGGGGCATGTATGCTCAGTGCACACGTAGTAAGCATAGTGCTCCAAAGGAAATGATAAAGAATGATCGTGTTTACTTATTGCACAGCAGTAAATATGTAGATGAGACAGTGGTGTATGGTGAACTAAATACTTACTGCTTGAATTACTGTGTACTGTACTAAATATTCAGACAATGCTAACTCAGCCATGGAGCACAGCTTGTGTATTTTATAGTCTGCATTAATACTAATAGAGAATGCTACTGTTTATTGAGGAAAACAAGAGTAGAGGATACCACATATATAATGTGGCAGACTTGGCACAACAAGAAAAAATTACCTTTTTAGTGTTTCATTTTGAGTTCACAACTTTATTAAATATATTTATTTAATATATTTGTCCATTTAACTTCCTTGTGTCTGTTTTGGGGGATTTCAGTTGTTGCTTTTGCTTGCTTGTGTACTTGTTTGTTTTAATTATGAAAGAGTTAACGGTAGCCTGCAAGCTTCATTTATTCAGTGGCATTTCTAAGTGGAGCTGAAGTGTTTTGTTTCTTCAGTGGAGTTTCAAAGCTCCTTGAACCGCAAATGCAGAGCTAAGCTGCCATAGTGCAAACCCTCGTAAACCAAACCTCAGCTGTATCCCAGAAGGCTTTATTGAAGCCAGGTTTCACTGGAGCTTGTCACATCCTCAGCTGTTGCTACCTGATTAGCTCAGGACTAACGAGCCAGAATGGCTCATTGAACAGCTCCCACCTGCTAGTCACACTCACTGGACTACTCAAACAAGCTCTTCCAGCTTTCCAGATGGATTCTGTCAGCATCTTGTTCTGGAATTAAGTGACCAAGGTTTCCAGAGCAGAGCAGTACAGCAGCCACTACTTGTTGCCCTACCACGCCATAACCCAGCTGGTGTGGGCCATGAACACTTTTCTGGCAGTTGCAATGCCTATGCAGGACTATAGAGTGTCCTGGCAAGCCCTTCAGCCAAGAGATGAGTGCTGGAGTGAAGTTGCAGACCCATCAAAGTGTGTCCTGCTGCTGCTAAGCTTCAGATTTCATCCTGCAATGTGCCAATATTAGTCTTGTGCAGTGAATTACCTTGGTGTGCACGCTGTGGCTTGGGGGTCTGGCAGCAGGCCTCTCAGCTATGGTATGTGCTCAGAAGCCAGGGCACTGCGTGGCAAGGGGCACAGCATGGCAGCCCTCTGCTCCCCTTCAGGCAAAGGATGTGAGGAGGAGGGTACAAAGCACAGCACAGATCTTCCTGAACAGGCACAAAGCGCTGTCCTGAGGGACAAGGGAGATGCAAGGAGGGAAAGATGAGGGGAGGCTGTGTGGTTTGTGATTTGATCAGCTGGCGACTACCACAGGAAATCAACTGTGCCTGTGCATGGGACCAGAAAATCTAAACCAGAAGGCTTGTTAATTGTCTTGTAAAACCTAATTTGTTTGTATTGACATGGAAATGTTTTGTCCTTGACAGATTCTTGCAGAAATAAGTTGATCTTTTTCATTTAAAACGAAGTAAAGGGAAATAAAGATGCATGTAGCTTTTAAAAATATATGCCTTTTGCTCTGTTAACGTTTTGAGGACACTGTGATGGCTTTTGGTGCATTGCTTCCACTATTTCTTTTGTTTTTGTTGGTGCTTTTTTTTGCCACAAGCAAGTTGTTGGTGCATGTCAGATAAACAGCTTCTTTTACTGCCTTTCATTTCTCTTTTGAGCTGTTCTTGTTCCATTTTGGCATAGTCTTCCAAGCAAAGGATGCCTGCGCACACACACACACACACACAAAGCAAATGAATTTTTGAGGAAATAAGTAGGCTTGCTATCTGTGCCACAGTAGGAGTAGTACACCTGCAGGTGAGCTACATCATCACTGCATTGAGATTTTGGCATGATGATGTGAAGTTCACCGGGAATGGGATTGCTGGCAGTATGTTATAGGGCGCTTGGTTTGGGAAAAAGGTTCTGTAAGCTGACGTGGTAAAAGATGTCTCAGCGTGTAAATGTGTATAATGCATGTGCTTTCTTAAGCAGTGCAGCCAAAATGCAGAGACTTTCTTTGACTGTGGAAACATTGATTTATTTTGCCCTCTCATCTCTCTCCACTGAAAAAAAGAAAAAAAAAGAAAAAAAAAAAAGTGGGAAAAACTGTTTCTTTTAGAGACAAAAATTTGCATTCCGGGCTTCAGGCCAACTTGTTTTAACAAACGTTATATAGTGTCTATAAAGTACTTTTTTATGATGGAAACACTGATAGATCCTCTACTTTGGCAAGCTAAGAGGTCCATCTACCACAAAAAAAAAAAAAAAAAAAGAGTAAATAAGGAGACATACAGGCACTGAAGAAAAAGTTTTTTTTTGTTTTTTTTTTTAAGAGAGTCTTAACCAACTTAAAATCAGTTAAAGTAATTACATGTACTTACTTCTGTCATCTTATTTCTTAATTGTATTTAATTTCTTATATGTAACAGTACCCTCTAGGAGAAATAAACATTAGGAGAGTGATTAGGTGGAATTTGCTCCTTTATGAAGTGATAGCTTAGTTGTAGCAGTATCACTAGTAAAGTTATTTTAATGTTGCTGTATTTTCTATACTGGTGGTTCCTTCTCCAGCATGTGTGTTATGTAAATCAGATAGATCAGATCAAGTTATCTCCTCCCGGACACCTAACTGTCTGCCTGGCTACAATACATATTGTCAGGATGCAAGGAATTTATTGCGGAAGGTAGGACACATTTTAAGGGTATGTTTTTTCCTCATCTCCAGTCTTTTTGCTGATATTTAAGTAGATCACTTTTAAAGGCAAAGTATAGATAAGGCTATACCAGCATAGGCTGTTCTAATTAGTCTTAAAGTTCATGCATCTTGTGGTAACTTTTGTTATGTTTTTTTTTGAAACGGTTTGTTCTTCTATCACTAGTACCTTTATCCTATTTATGTTTTAGAACAACCCTCTCAACCAGAAATCTTGCATCAAGCAGACTTCTTAGAAACAGAGAAGCTAAAAATGGTAAGAGCAGCATTCTCCCTCAAACTTGCGTGCTTGAAGGCTGCCTACAGTTCCTTTGCAGTGAAGACGAAGAGAGGTGATGAACTGAGGCTGAGAGGGTGTGTGTGCATGTGTGGCTGTGAGAGGTTGCGCTGTGTAGCCAGGCTGTGCACAGAGTGGCTTCTTCAACCAGTACCCTAATAACCCTGTAAGCAGGGTCCATCCTAATTCTAGATCCACAACCGATCCCTCTTCCAAATTGTACCTAAGCCTCACTTATGGGATTTACCTCATTTAAAAAAATATATCTGGTGTTAAACTTTTGAACTGCCTAGAAGTTTTATCCAAAACAAAAGCAGATCTGTTAAAACACAGCAAAAAGAAACAGTGACTAATTTCTGTCTGTTTTGCAGCTTGGGGAGTGCGTTGTGAGAGATAGTTATCCTGAAGGCAATGTTACGTGGTACAAAAATGGGCGAGTTTTGCAGCCTGTGGAAGAAGGTATGTTGCAGTAATGGATGTTGTCCTTGAATTCACGTACGGATGTATGTTGAAGAACTGTGTTTATTGGAGTTACTCTGTTTTAGTCTTAAGACTAAGTCTTTCAGAAAGACTACTTATACAGAAATATGAAACTGGAAGGAAACTTCTTGGGTGCCTCTCGGAGAACCCAAGCTATGCCATATTATTTCTTTATGTCATATCACAGCTTAAAAAACACATGAAGAGGAGAGTTGACTTTGTTAATGCTGTTGCAAAGTAATTCTTGAACCTATGTAGCTAGTAAAAACTGATAACTAATTTCCAGCTTCAGTTTTATGCCTGTCCAGTACTGTGTTTCAGACCACATAGATGATAGCCTTCTTATGCAGTTATTTATCCTTCAGGTTGTTCAGGAGGAATTCTTCTTTACCCCATGACTTTCAACTTTAATTTTGATGGGCTGATTGGACCATAACATTTTAGTTTCCATAAAACAGGAGAGGCTTACAAAATGAAGTTATAAATGTGATCTTAAAAATTGTTTTTGCTGGCACTTCTGAGGCCTTCTTACTGCCTGAGAGATTTGCATTAAAACAACAACAAAAAAATGCAGTTAGTTCTTTGCTTTGCTTTGATTAAAAATTTGCAGTGTGTTAGGAATATATCGTTGATAAAACCTTCCTAGTACATATCAGTGGCAACACTGGAGGAAAACTCTTTGTGTAGTTTCTTCGGTAATATGTCATGTTACTTGTGTGTTTGCAGCCTGATAACAGTAAATAGGGAACAGGCAAGCAAGAAGTATCTGCAGTTGGAAAAATGTTTCACATCCTGGCCATGTGATAATGAAATAATATTTCCTTTACAGTTGTGGTCATAAATTTGCAAAAGGTTGAGAACAGATCTACTGGACTGTTCACCATGACATCATCTCTTCAGTATATGCCAACAAAAGAAGATGCAAATGCTAAATTTACTTGCATTGTGACGTATTATGGACCATCTGGCCAGAAAACAATACAGTCTGAACCAGCTGTCTTTGATGTTCACTGTAAGTTACTAAAAAGTATCTTCTGCTGTACAAAGTCTACCTTTGGGGAAAAAGAAATAATTCTTAGACAGTTTGTAACATTACAGATATTGCTGCTTGACTATTGAGATGGTGTTTTCAAAGCTGATTTGCAGTAAGAAGATCTGAATAAAGTGTAAGGGTGATTTTTATTTATCTTTGGATTTACCTGGGTTTTCTTTCTTTCTAACAGTAGAAATGCTGATTATCAAGGCTCTACTGCTATGAAGAAAGTAATAATTAAAAAATTTACTGTGAAATGGGTTTTTCAGAACTTTAGCAGAAGATGGGGCTGATGAGAATGACTCTGTGTGCCTCTTGAAATATGCAATAAGTACTCTGTATAATTATTTGTACGCTGAGATCCTTTTCATTTCTTGCAAAGAAGAGTCAGCACAAGCAGCTAATGCTGGCAGACTACCTTGCACAAAAATGTAGTAGCTTGTCTACAGCTGTAAGATGCTGATATTTACATTCAAAATGTGGCATTTGAATCTTGGTAGACTTCTAATTTTAAAGTAGAGAATGTATGTGAATAATTACTTCAAGTCCCAAAGCAACTTTTTTACTGTATTGCTGACTGACATAGAGATCATAGTTCTCCTCTGAATAAAGAAAACAGACAATTGACCAGGTAGGTCAGAGGAGGTGCTAGCTGTTGGAGAGGGTTTCAGAGTCTTGTAAAGGGACACTTCTGAAGGACTGAAGGCAGAAGGTTGTAACAGAAAGAAGAGAAACAGGAGATATTCCTGATGCCCTGTAAACTGTTGTTTCTTTGAACATTTTAGGTAATACCTCAGTTTATAAAAAAAGTCCCCACTTTGGGAACAATAAAGCCTGAGTGCACAGTCCAGATATCTAATGAGGCCTTAGTATATACAGTCTAGCAACTCTGTGATCCAAATGAATATGAAGAAAATGAATACAGCACATCTGATGTCTGCAGCCAGTAGATGTGCGCCATTGCTTTGAAAATGAGTGTCTTGGACTTGAAGTGACAGTCTCTTTTCTACCTAGATCATTGCTTGCTTTTCCTTTGCAGGTATAGTTTGTTGAGCAGCAGAAGTAGGGGATCAGATCTTGGAGTAGTTAATCCTTATTTTCACCCAGAAAAACCAGTGTAAATTAAGGCCGCCTTTTCACCAAGTGTTTCTTCAGAATGACAACTGCCAGAACTAATGGAAAAGAAAGCCTCTGGGATAACAGATAAACCATTATCCTGGGAAATTATATAGAGATTTCAAGTCTGCAGTCACCAATTCCATTGCTTTTTTGTTTTGTTCTAAGTTTGGGTCCACTGGTTTTCTTTTCTGGCAGTTATGGAACCCGTGACCACAGAAAGCTCCTATTGCTTACGGCAAGGATCTACAGGAAAGAATTGTAATGATTAGAAAGAATTTAATTTTTTCCCAGTCAGATAGGTTTATTGCTATTATTCCCCATTTACCCATCAATTTAATGCATTAGGCTACTTCGCCTATTGAGGATGAGGCTCTTGCAAATTTCTGTGATGTTTGTACTACATCTACTTGCTATTAAGAACTACTCAATCTGAAAGAAAAAAAGCTGTACAGCATTGAAGAATAATCTCTGCATCAGACACCACACATACCCAGTATTAAAGATTTGTTTGCTAGACTAGCTCTTTTAATCCTGGTCTAGTAACATGCAATTTAATTAAGATAAGCTCTTCCTCCTGAGATGGGAAGCATCGTGCTGCTAATTAGCCAACAGTGGGAGGCAGGCACAACCTTCAGTACTAAAGAGACCTTCCAAAATTTCCTTTACCATTAGAGTAAAGAAAATTCCCATTTCCTTTTTGCATATCTTCATTTGCTGTAACTTCCGTTTCATGCTCTGCTTAAATGCATCTCCAAATGGATTTCTGAAACTCTTTATGAACTTCTGGAGCTTCAACAGATAGATTGCTTGACTGGTATTATTTAATGATAATTAGGTCTGATTTGTTTTTGTTTTTAAATTTGGTTCAGTGGTCGTAGTTGATTTCTTTCTCAACAAATGTGATTTTTTAACCAGTTGAAAGTAATGTAGATTTAAAAAAAAAAAAAAAAAAAGCCAGGATTGTAATGGGAGTCTTTCTTTCAGTTTGTCTGTCAAACTATTATGTTTTGCAATTTTGGAGGAAGTTGAACAAAAAAAAACATAAAGAAGGACTGCTGTTCTTTGTAATATCTAGTGAGATTCACTGTAACTTTTTTTCACAAAGAAATGAGGAAAGCACAATTTGAACCATGCCTAAACAAGATGTTTTTGTTTCAGATATACCTGTTTAGTTAGTATTTAAGAGATGTTTTACTGTTTTTAGTAGCTCAGGACTTGTGCCAGCTCCTGTTCTGAAGTGGACCTCCTGGAAGCAGCCAGCCTCTGAAGAATGAGCAAACTCCTGCAGAATGCAGTGCTAACTGGAGATAGGTAGCTCAGCTAGCAGTAGTTATCAGTGCTTGACTACAGGCTCTCATTTGCAGCTGTAGCCAGCAAGCTGGATAAAGTAACTTGATTAATGCAGGAGAACTCCTGGCACTGGACAATTAGATAATGTCTGATTGTATCTAAATTATCTGGACTGCAGTTGTGTTTTGTTCTGCTCTGAGTTAATTAGTATAAAAGGGTATTAGGCAAAATTTCCTACCATGCCCTGTTTTTAAGTGTCTGTCTTGCTCGGGATTAACTCCTTTCCACAACAGATAAGAGTGAAAGGTGCTTTTTCAGTCATGCTGCTTCCAGTATCTGTGTTTGTATTAAAATTATACAAAATTATGTCAGTTGCGGACACATTGGGTCTGGGATGGTGGCATTCATTTACTAACTGCCCTCTGGTGTCTGCTTCTACTATTTTGCTCTTGAAGAAAGCAGATACAAAGTTGATGGTTTATAGAAGGACAGGGTGATATGGACCTAGCCAGAGATACGTGCCACTGAGCAGAAGGACATCCCTTCACCAAGCTGTTCATGATTATTAGTGAAGGAGAAGCATGTTGCTGTGCATTGCTTCGCATGAGTATTGCACTGAACATTGTCACTGGGTTGCTTCTTCCTCAGAAGGGTGATCTGTTCACCTTACAGAACAATTTAATCAGTCTTTTGTTATTTACTTTCATAGTTATTTTTTTTTTCCAGTTTAGAGAATGAGATTAAAACTTTCCTCCCAGTTGATGGAAATACATAGAAGGGTAAGATACGCCTAGGGGAAAGACCGGTGGTTTGCATGAATGTCATTCTTGCTTAACTGTGTCCAATTTTCAATCCAGTTCAGTTCATCTCTGTGGGAAAAAACAGTTCCAAATTAAAAGTCCTGAAGTCTTCCTCAGTATGATTCATCTCTTTTTAATTCAGAGACAATGCCTATGAAATTCCAGGATTTGTAGTAACATTTTCACCTTTGGTACATAACTTGAAAAAGGGAGAGACCAGTTCTGCAGTAGGCTGGCTCTGGGGTCTTTGGCTGAGAAGCTACCAAGAAGAGTACCTGTGATTTATGACCAGCTGCTATCTCACATCTCACTATCTCACATGTTGTGTTCCACACCAACAGCTGGACTTCCCTTTCCTCAGTAGTAAAGTTGTGATTCAGTGCTGCAGACATTAAGGTAGATGTTTGGATGTGGATAGGGAGCCAAGGACATGTGGAGGAGAGAAGGTAGGGCCTTTTGACGCCTGGTACCACTCTTCCTATGAAGAGAGATGCAGATCTGCATTAGGGCTCCCGGTCATTGAGAGGCCACAATAAACTGCAGCTCATGTTATTGAAAAATCCCATAGCAGAAGATGAATGTGATGAGTGCCTTAAGGGGTCAGAAGGGTCATAGAGCCCATGCTTCATTAAACACAGAGAATCAGCTGTCAGACAAGGATTTCTCTGCTGTCTAGGTAATTTTTTTTCATGTCTAATAAGGTGTGCTGTACTGTGTCTTAGTGCAAGACATGCATCCTTGGAATTTTATTTATTCATTGAAATTAAAGCAGCGAGAGTTATCTGCCAATAATATTTCCTTTAATTTTCTTCATTTTATTCTGTATTTGAAAAAATTTATTTAGGCTTCTACTTAGGAAGAATAGCATCTATTAACATATACTTCGTCTTTGCCTTAAAAAAATTACTCAAGTAAAATGTAAGTTATAGTTAAACTTCAGTGAACATGACAGAAGTGCGTTACATTTACAGTTCTGTTGACTATGTTAAGGGTCCTATTATGTTTGTGGAATTCATCTTTGTGAAAGGTTGTTGTGATCAGCATATAGAATAGGCTGAATAGAGTTGCTTAGTTCATATTTCTTCCGTTTAATGGAAGAAGGCTAATATCTAATACTAATGCAAGGCACTGAGAGCCTCTGTTGTTGTTCTGATTGCTGCAGTCCTCCATATAGCAAGCTTCACAGAGGACAAGTTAATCCCTCATAATGAAATCATGCTGTGAAGCTGTTCGTGCTGATCAGGGTTGGATATTTTTTCCTCTTAAGCACTTCACAGAGTTGTAGTCATTGCTGTGTCAGTGATAGGATATTTTGGTTAATACAAATGATTTTTCGTATCGTATGGCCTCTTTGTGGTTACTTGAATTGGCCAAAGTATGGAAAGTGTGATGGACTTCAGGTCTTCTGTAAGAAAGATCAGCACATGCAAATAACTTTATCTGCTCGATGATGAAATCATGAACACTCCAGCCATGCATATCATATTACTCTGTAGTTTTTTGTGGAAGCTATTAAGTGTGTATGTTGTTTTCACAGATCCAACAGAGAAAGTGACTATTCGAGTGCTGTCACAAAGTAGTACCATTAAAGAAGGTGATAACGTCACTCTGAAGTGCTCAGGGAATGGCAACCCTCCTCCACAGGAGTTCCTGTTTTACATTCCAGTAAGTCCTTCCTTGCTGTCACTGTGTAGTGAAATATTCTGTATGAATCCTTCTTACAGACATTGATGCTTGTCAGTGCATACGTGACTCTGAAACAAATGAAGGAAGGAATTATAACTATATTGAAAGATAGACATGGGCCGTTACATCAGACTCTAAGAATATCTCACCTGAGTTGGCAAAATAGTTTGAAAGAGCCTCCTTCCCCCATCCAAAGATTTTTGGTGTTTCAACCTACTAAAAATTGCCATTCTTCATTTCACATCATCATATATTTTTTTTTAAAAAGAAGTTTTGACAAAAGCAGTTTATCATTTTGAATATACCGTCTTATTTTGGACACAATGGACAGATTCAGCAATGAAAGTACAGGAAATTAATTCAGCTTTTTTTTTAATTTACCTTCATGGGTGAATCTTTGCAATTTCTTTTAGTTCTGTATTTATTAATTAAACTGTGTGGTGGCATACAGTCATAAAGAAAAAGAAACAGCATGACAGTGCAAGAGAAGGTGTAGAACAAATCTGTCAAATGTATAAGATGACAATCAGGAAAGATAAAGGATTTGATACTGTTAATTTTAGTTTTGTTGGAATCCACAGACAGATGCAGCTTTATATTTTAAGATTCCTACCTTCTTCCTGTGTGCTGCTTCTCTCTCTCTTCAATCTTATATCCGTTTTTTGTTCCTATTGCAGCACTGAGCAGAGTTGAATGTGAGAGCCAAAAGCTATGGCATGCTTGCGAGTATTTCAAAAACTGTATGTGTAGTCCTTCGAACATAATCCTTTTCTACTGTAGGCTCCTGGCATGTTTCAGTTACTGAAGGTTAGCATGGGAAACCAGGAGTTGAAGTCCTCTTCAGCCATTTAGGTGCAGTGAGTCATCCTAGGAATTTACTGCATGCCATGTGTCTCCTTGCTCTATGGTCACAGTGAGCAAGCTGAACACTGCAGTCCGTCTGATCTTCAAGTCTCCCTGCTACTGGGAGCTGGAATTTGCAGTTCCTTTGCAAGACTTGTGACAAACCTGGTAAATCACTTTCTGGATTTATAGATACGAATTAGACTCTCATTCTGTACATGCTTCAAAGATGTTCAAAGATTGTCAGCTGTTATCAGGTAGAAACTGGGGAATGGGACAAAGCCCCAGTTTCTGTGGATAAATGCATGTAAGGTAGTGTATATGCTGATGTGGATAGAGCAGGGCTGTGCGTGTTGAGTGTGTGTAACGCAGTACATTTTACTTCATGACCTCCTGAAATGAGCGTGACATTTGAGATACAAATTAAGAAACGCAATTTGTTTTGCAGTTGCAGTTTCTCCAACCCTTTCAGTCATCTTTCATCACCTTTCTACTGAATTTCTGGATTTCTTATTTTCATATTCTCTTAAGTATGCTAGCTGTTCAATTAAAAGAGTAAGCTTTTAATTGTAGGGTTTTATAAACTCTGTGGTCATGCAGGAAATAAACATTAGTGTTGTTAACGGGTAATTGGATTTCAGTGATACTGAAACTAAATGTATTTTGGTGTATTTCAGGAGCCTTACAATTAAAAAAAATCCCCAACAAAAAAGAAAGCTTTCAGCAGGCTCATATGCAATAAATGTTTTGTTTTCCATCCACAGGGAGAAACAGAAGGTATAAGAAGCTCAGATACTTACATAATGACAGATGTGAGACGAAATGCAACAGGAGAATACAAGTGCTCTCTGACTGACAAAAGCATGATGGACGCAACCACCATCACTGTGCACTGTAAGTCATTGCATTTTGTATTTGGATCCTTTTGTATAAGGATAGAAAACCTAGCTTGCACCTCTGCTTAAGGAGATCTCTCTAACTGACTTATGGTGAGCTGAATGATGTGGCTTGTTTGAAGTAATTAAGGTTGGATTTTAAAATTTTTTTTCCTTTCAATGTATCTCTGCTTAAACACCTAAACTTTCTCGATTTCCTGGCTTAGAGATTCACTTAATGTAACCATTGTAGGTTATATACTGCACTGTACAGTGAAAATTCTGATATTTCATGTGTCACAATATGATAAATTATTCTGATCCAGCAATGCCTCAGAATGTGCTCAGACAGACAGCGGCTCGCACTGAAGGTTGTTTTTTGGAGTCAAATTCACATTAGTCTGATGTCCTTTCATCTTATCTCAATAAGGTTAACACATAATAAGAAGCAACTTAGATATTCGTTTTGTTCATGTAGTGTTTGGGGTTTTTTTCTGGTTTTTTTTTTTCTGTTTTTGTTGTTGTTGTTATTTGTTTGTTTGTTTGCTTCCTTTTCCCTGAATCATGAGAGCAACAGAGCTTGGTGAATTTGCTTTAGATGGACACAAGAGTATTTACTCATACTTTATCAACATGAAGCAACCACTGACTTGGATTAACCATTGAAGCAACTAATTCAATGGCTGGTTTTAATTTTATCTTTTTGGGAAAATGCAAGAATGGGGCCTCTTTCATTCAAACTTTACCATACTATCACAGGGTGTGAAATGAGATCCAGGCCAATGGTCCTGAGTTTCCCCAGAGGACATTCATGGTCTCTAATCTTCCCAGTAGCATAAATATCTCCTGATAGTTTACAGGTTCAGAGGGACTTAATCAATAACAAACTGGAAATGCTCCCACAGTAATTATACATCATATAAAAAGAAATGTCACATAGAAAAATGAACATCTATGTTTATTTTTCCTCTTAAGTGTGGGTCAGGTTAGGGCATTTCAACTTCAGAATCCAGCTACTTGCTTAAGGAGTTAGAAAACTCTGATATTTCAGTCTGCTTGCCTCTTTCTGCCCACTTTTCAAGAGCTGAGGCGCCTCTGTCTCCTTCTAAACCAACTTTATTCCTTTGTTAGGTTTGATCAACAAGATTGACTGTATGTAATGGAACACAGTAAAGCAAGGACTTTTTAACTACATAGCATTTGGTGTGCCACAGTTTTTGCTCTTCTGCAGTTTGATGCTATGTGGGCTTTTTTTTCTTGGAAGAGGTACAATATATCTAGAATCTACCTGTACATGAATAATTTCCCTCTTTAGTTTAATGAATGTTTTATATTTAACGAGGTTGTCTGCTGTTTTACTACCTATTCCCTTTTCTTGACCAAGAATTGGGATATGTAAGAGATCTGTGCTTCTGCTCCTACCTGCCCAATACCAAAGCTGAATTGCTGCTAGATTGCTGTGGTATCATTGGCCCTTTTGTTTTGTTCCAAGTGGTTAGCATGTTGACTAATACCTCCATAAATAGTTACTCTAGAGTATGGCTTCTGTGGCTTCATATATATAGATATATATAGATATATAAAGAGTCAGTTTTCCTTTACCTGCTATTTTTTGTGCATGTCAGAAGAGTTTCACTGTATGAGAGAAACATGTATTTTCATGATGTAATTCTATCTGAGTGCAGCTACTCAGAACTCGTATGTCCAGTCTAGTACCTTGCTTCCTTTCTTCGTGTATGGCTTGTTTCTCTTAGATACATCTATCAGTATTAAAGCCTTTGCTTAGGTGAGGCTCAGAACAGTTCTGTACCTCCTGAATGCCCAAACCTTTGTACCTGTCCTTAAAATAATACTTTTTAATTCTTATTAAATTTTATTTTCCTCCTTTGCTTTATTACTTTCATTTTCTCATATGGATAAGTATTTCTTTCTGCAGTGTTACACTGCAAAAGTGTTCATTCTGAGTCAGGACTTTTCATTTCCTCACTTCTGTTCTTGACACTTTAGGTTTTTCATTTTGATTAAAAATATAGGCAATACAAAATTTTGTTTATACCAGTGAATCTATTATGAACTTCACAGAAAGCTGAACACTGACATTTAGGCATCTGAGTTACCCATCAAATATAGGGAAATACTGTATTCATAAAGCAAATTTTTAGGGTGGGAGAGAGAAAAGAAAGAAATCAAATTGCTCTATGGATTCTTCCTCGAGGGAATCCTATGAGAAATTATATGTTAATTCTATGTTTGCCTCATAAAACAATACTTCGAGCTGTGCAGTTCATCTCACATAATGTAAATTTTCCTGAACATCTGTAACAAGAAGACCCATGTGTGAGAGGAATGTAGTCTCACTTACAGCACCAGAAAGATGAGGTTGTGGGGGGCTCAGGCTTGCTACCCTGGTGGAGGACTAGTTTGAAGGATTGAACTGAGGCTCAGTGTCAGTCTTGCTTGAGATGATGGCCAAAAATGTAATGAGTTTCTCCTTTCTGTGATATATGTGAAAGAAGATGCTCATTGTTCTTTGGTGATCTCTGGTTTGAGGTGATATCATGCTTCAAAGAATGAAAAGTTTAAGTAAATGTTGGAGAGTTGCTGTGAGGGGGGAAAAAATGTAGCTTTGTCTTCAACCCACTCTTCTGACTCAAGAGGAGCTGAGCTAGAAGAAAAAATCTCTTCCATTTTTTTTTTTCCCTTGTGAAAGCAGTGGTAAAATCTGGAGTAGCTTTTGTTAATTTTCTTGGGTTTGCTAGTTGGGGAGGTGGGGGAAAGAAAGACTAAAGAAAAAAAATACAATTTTTCCCCTTCAAGACGTTTCTTTCATTCATGCGGATCTGGGACCTCTCAGAATAGCCATTAGACTTTATAATACAGATAATAATGCAGTCTAATAGTACTGGATGGACCATAGATTCTCCCTGAAGTCCTGCTTTTTAATGGTGTTCCCAGGGCAACCGCTGAATGAAACCAGTAGTCAAGTTCACTGTTTTGTTAAGTAAAACTCACTGTTTTTCCCTCCTTTACCAACTGTGATTTTGCCTCAAGTATACATATATATATATACATATATATATTTAACTCTGCTTAAAAGCCAAAAGGATATTCTGCAGTGCTTTTCTAGTGCTATATTCATGATGAAACCATGTATGCTTGCCATTTGAGCTATTGTGTGTGTGCATCTGTGATAGTTATTTGACCAGGCAACTTGGCTCACAGGCAAAGCTCTGTGAGAAGGGAAGCAAAATAGAGGTTTAGCTTGGCAAATTCTGCTTTTCTTTCATTGTAGGATTTTCCTGAAAAAGCAATCACTAGCCTGCCAAATCCATATACTCAGAAAATTCTGGAGCAGTGTTTCCTGATCTTTCTATTACTGGGTCTCACCCTCCCTAGCGTCAAACACAGCTATCACTGATTCTGCAATTTCCCTGAAGCCAAAACAGGTCAGGGAAAGCTTGGACTCTGAGTAACACAAAATGACTTTTAAGTTACTAATGAAAACAAAGAAATCAAAGGGCTTCATGTGTGGCCACCCAGCCTTATAATTCAGGCCTCTTGTCTCTTCAGTCAGTATCATCTGTCACACGCTACATTGACCACTCTCATCCTCTCCATATGCTCAGCATAAAAATCATCTTGTTTTATCAGATTTCAGAAAGTTACCCCTTGTCCTCCTATCCACTTCTATGCATTTTATTAAGTAACTGTTCAAATTAATCTGTCCCCATCTGCTTGAGTCCTCCACTGAAAGTACACTTGAATCTGGCTGAAAAAGAGATTCCCTCACAGCAGCCTGTGCTTCCTCTTTCAAGAAACAAATACTGCTGTGCTGAATACTACTGCGGATTCTTGTGCCTCTTTTGTCACCCTTTCAGTAGTACAAGGGTGAAAAAAGATATCAATTTGTCTAGTAATTAGTAAGTTTTCACTTTTCCTGTTAGCCTGTAATTACAGCAAAAATGTGAATGTTCTTGCAACGCCTGTTTTAGAATAATTCTGTCTTCTTCCTTTCTTCTAAGTTTGATTTAGATTTTATTGAGCAAATGAATTTAATGAGTGCAATTAGTCACATTTTCTTTTCTTGGAAAGCCTATCTTATGGCCCAGGCATTCTGAGATTACCATTTTGACAAATGTTCTTTGTGTCCCAGATCTGGATTTGCAGCTTACTCCTAGTGGAGAAGTCACAAAGCAGATTGGAGAGGCCCTGCCTGTGTCATGCACAATTTCTTCTAGTAGAAATGCAACTGTGTTCTGGATAAAGGTCAGTGATTCATCTACTTCACGCTTCATCTGTGTATTCATCACTTCATATTACTGTTGATACTTCAGTGTTTTGGGAGGGCGGGAACTATGCTGATTTGGCTTTTGGAGGCCTTTTGTTAAAATGAATCTTTTGTGCAATGCTAAAATAAGAGACACCACTTTAAATTGATGACTAAAAATTAGTTACTGTAATTATTGGCTCAATTCTCAGAGAACTACTGAACAGTATAACACAAATGCAATTTTATTGAAATTGTCTGTATGAGGAACTTTTAGAATCAGGTCCTGCTAAGAGGAAAAAGCCCTTTGAAGGAATTTGAATTTATCATTTATTTATTTATTCATTTTTGGTAAGCTTAATCTCGGTCCCAGTAAATTTAGCAGGACAAGGCTGGTTGAGAGATTAGATGTTGGCTGCTGGCTGTTCAGTGGGTGGTTAAAAAAAGTAGCTGTTGTAGATATCAGGTTTAAAGAACACCAGTACTGATGGAAACTAAAAATGATGGTACCTGAGGTCATTTAGTAGTGAACTCCTAAGCTCAGTTACTAGAGGTGTGTTGATAGTGTGTCAACTTGTACCAATAGCGTTTTTCACCAGACTACTGGCAAAGCTCAGAAAAGTTGTTCCCATCTATGCCCTTGACTTGAAGGTGAAGAAGAGAAGCGGCTTATATCAACATCCAATAGTTTCCACTTTTCATGCTCAGATGTTGCTGTCTGCTATTTGAAGGTGGTTACTAACAGGAAGACACTTGAAGTGTAAAACTCTAATCTGTTAATGCCAGTCACTTTTGTAATGTAGAGGTTAATGTATTCTGAATTAGAGTTCAAAAGATTAACTCCTTGCTCCATCAGGACAATACCAGAATGAAAACAAGTCCATCATTTTCAAGTCTGCAGTATCAAGATGCTGGAAACTACATCTGTGAAACTACTCTACAGGAAGTTGAAGGGCTAAAGAAAAGAAAGACACTTAAACTTATAGTGGAAGGTAAGGAAGCAAAAAAGCTATGATTATTAATTATGCTGTTCATAAATAAAATGTTTAACTGTAATATTTTTCAAATAGGAAAGCCTCAAATCAAAATGACAAAGAAAACCAATACAAATAAAATGTCTAAAACAATTGTCTGTCACGTGGAAGGATTTCCCAAACCAGCAGTGCAATGGACAGTTACTGGTAGTGGAAGCCTCATAAATAAGGCAAGTATCTCTTTTACTACTTTAAATCATGCCTCCTATGTTTTGGTGTATAAAGTCAAGAAAAAATTTGCAAGCAATTAGATGAAGGAGTTTAATCAGTTTTATTTCTTTGAGAGAAGGAGGGTAAATTATATTACAGGCTTATGTGGACAATAGCTACCAGGTACCTGCATGGATAATTTCTGATGATAAAGGGCTTATGCATATTGCAAAGGTATACAGGTTCCCTCACCTACAAGACGAAGCTGGAAGGAAAAAAAGAAGTTTGTAATTAAAATCTGCATTTTAAAGTTATTCAGTCATTTTGCTTGGATAATGTGGCTTTGCCAAATACATAAAGGATTTACAAATACTCTGAAATTTGTGTTAGAAAGTAATAAGGTACTTGATGTAGGCATTAGCTGGGGAAAGTATTACAAGTAAAAATCAGAAAATATGCTCACTATAGTTCCTAATGGACTTTGCAGTTTTATCCTAATGTATATGTTATTTTTGTGTGGTTATATCATTGTTTCTTACTGCATTTTGGAAACAAAACCAAAATGCAGTCAGCCTAGGGGAGAAATATGAAGACTTAAGCAGCTTGAAAAATATCTGAAAAAAGAGCAAACTGAAATATCTTCATATTGATAGCCAAAACACATGCAGAGAATTGCCATATTTTGTCTTGATGGGAAAAATAAATTAGATGCGTATACAAACATTTGAAGACTGAAAGTATAATGCCCATTGTTCCTGCAGATTTCACTGCTTCCTAAGGTTTTGCTTTAGCCCTTCAGAAATTACATGACTGTGAAAACATGTCCATTTACTTGCAACTGTAGGTTAGGAATTCTGTTGAGTCTATATAACTAATTAATTGAAAATAATGTTTTTCTGGACATGGTATTAATGTAAGAATGGTGTACAGCAAATTTAAGGAACACCTTCATCACCATTACAGCACTGATGCTGCAGGTACCACTAAATAGATGTGGCTTGGCAAAATGATTCTTGAGTGGAAACAACTCATGATTTGGAATGTTGTAAAGTGGAAATCTTACAGTGGTCATAAAGAAATGCAAACTTAGACATCTCATTTTGGGGTTTCCTTGGAGAATTTTGTACCTTGGATATTCTTTAAATAGTTGGAATAAACAAAAACAAGTACAGGGTCTGGTGAACTTTTGAAAAATACCTCTTTAGAAGTCTTATTGCAGTATGTGCTGGGCAAAATGTAGATACAGCTACAAGAAAAGACTGGGCAATCCAAATGTTCGCATTAGCATGTAATAAAATAATGAATTATTTCTATTGTCATGTGGAAAACTGAAATATGGTTGATTGTTATTTCTCTCTGAACATTTTCATTGCATAAATACAGATAATAAATTCTTTGTTGTTTGTGTTTTTCAAGGATGCTAACCTTCATTTTTTACCTTTTCAGACAGAGGAGACCAAGTATGTTAATGGAAAATTTTCCAGTAAAATTATAATTGCTCCTGAGGAAAATGTAACATTAACATGCATTGCAGAAAATCAGCTAGAAAGGACTGTGACCTCTCTGAATGTCTCTGCTAGTAAGTATCTTCTAAAGACCATTTTTCTGAAAGTTGTAGTTTCACATAGAGTATCCACACTTCGTGCACAAATGAAGACTGGATGTGCATAATAATGTTGGTAGTAACGCAGTTACCTTTTTGTCTCAAAAGCAATAGAACCATTAATAGTGTAGTAGAATACAGAATGTATTGATAGCTTTCTGAATGAAGCTGTGTAGTCTTCCTTGACTAGTTATATCATGTATGCAATGTATTCATTTTATATTCAACGTAAGTATACAATATATATATTTATAAAACATGAGTTTTGTGTGTAATTTGTGTAATATTACACCATAATGGTACAAAAGAATGTACATTTAGTGTTATAAAATATTACTTACAAAAGACAAAGTCTTTATTTATTACTACATAACCATCTTTTACTCCTCAAATTCCAGTTTATCATTATTGGTATTGACTTTTTCAATTTTCAGTGAGGAAATATATTAAGAAGCTAATAGTTGTGAAAGAGGAACACATAAATATTTCTGAGACTAATATTATAGTATTGAACATGATTCTTCAGTTGGATATCTTACAGTTATAAAATAATAATAACTTTTCCTTGAAGATGTTTGGCAAATATTGCATTATTTTTTAGTGTCACCGATGCAAATAATTATAAGTAATATTCAGGTTATAACATGTTTTATCTTTAATTTTAACATTTTCCATTTCAGTAAGTATTCCAGAGTACGATGAACCAGAGGACAGAAATGGTATGTACAGTTTTCTATCTCCATAATCCTTTCTGTTCATTGTCTCAGATTAAGACATATGCAGAATCACTGAACAATCCCTCAAAATAGGACTCAACTTGATCTGTAGCAGGTGGCACCATGATTGACTAGGAACATGACTTTCTTGAAGCTTTAAGTGTTATGTTTTTTTGACTTGGTCTTTTTGAAACAGTTCTTTTCCTTTTTTCATTTTGATGTTCTGACTCCTTTTCTCATTTCTAATGCAAGTATTTTTAAAATGCTGTATTACTTTTCTTCATCATAAGTTAATTCATTAACTTTTCTTCTTTGCTTCAGATGACAACAGTGAAAAGGTTAATGACCAGGCAAAACTAATAGTGGGGATTGTAGTCGGTCTTCTGTTGGTTGCCCTGGTTGCAGGTGTTGTCTACTGGCTCTATGTGAAGAAATCAAAGTAAGAATTTATGAAAAACTTGATACTAAATTTTAAAAAATAATCATAAACACACAAACATCTATTTACCTGTTTTCCTTCCTGCAGCATTCCAGTAGTCTGACAGGGACAAGTTGTTATACTAAGTGCATTTAATAGAGAAAGGAAACTTGACACTTCTGATTGGCATGCCCTAAAGCTCAACAAGATATTTCTCTTGGATAAAGGCAGCTTACTCCAAGACTTTTCATAGTTAGCTGTCTCTAATGAGGTTCTATTTCCTGACAGCCAAATCTGAGCTGATATGGTACCTGTGAGTTAATTGTGGGAAGTCACCTCCTATGTGGCTCAATTGCTACTGGAAATTGTCTACACTTAAAAATTTTGTTAACTCTTCTGCTTTAAAACGCGGACTAAATTGCAGAACAGATCTAAATTATCTAGGTCCTTCATTCATTCACATATACTTTGAGATCTATAGAAGTAAAAATGGTAAACATAGACCTTTTGTTGCAGAAAAGATAGAAGCCGTCATCCAAATGAGTGTTTTACCAACCTAAGCAAGCACAGGATTTGCCATTGAGGTCTGCTTGGCTTTCAAGTTTTTGTATTATCACTCAGGCCCACTTTGAGATCATCCAGTTCATTTTATTAAAGTGTAGCCATTTTTCTCCATAGTTTTAAAGATGGCCGTGACTGTGTGCCATTTGGCCTTATCATCATATATGTGTCCCGAGGGAGAACTTAGAACAGGCTTGCTGTCTGGAAGGTTGTTGTTAAGTACTTTTAAATAGGGAGATTAAAGAAGTTATGCATAATAAAAACAAATCAGCACAAGTATATAGAAAAAAATCTTAAAGTTCTTTTTGTGACTTTTCATTAAAGCTAGCTCAAATGAAATCTAAAATGTGTGACAGAAAAGTGACAAAGTGTAACAAAGAATTCTCAATCTACTTTTCTTATAAAATGCAGGGGGTTTTTTATATTACATAAGGAATGTTCTCTAGCCATAACTAAGTAGTTTTTGGAAGTTCTGCAAATAAAGAACTGCTGATTTTGACAGAGCACAAAACCACATTCAGACATTATGGAAGGGTGGGGAAGCAATATTTTTTTTTTTCCAAAGGTCATGCTTCTTTTGCTTACTAATTAAGAAGTAATAATAGAACCATAGAATCATTACAGTTGGAAAATTTAAAATCATCTAGTAAAATAACGTTGAGCTCCTCCTCTCGCACTTTGCTACTCTCGTAATAATGTCTAGAATCATTTTCTTTCATCTGTTTTGAATATGAGAATGTGCAGTCATAAAATGATGCAGTGATTGGGTTTTTGCAAGAGGTGGTAGGATACAAGGAGGGCAGAGAAGGTAAAGTATCTTTCTCTGCACCATTTATATGTTGTGGTGAGAGCCGATTAGAAACCTAGATTACAGGATGTCATTTGCTGAAATGAGCTTGTGATTTAAGATAGCTTTTTCCTCTTCTAATATAGGATACATTATATTCTAAATGGAATATTCTATATTCTTTTTCCTTTTCCTTGTGCTCAATTTCTCTTATACATGCTTCAAGTAAAATTAGAGCTTGAATTTATTAGAAAGGTTCACCAGGAACAAAAAAATAACAATAAAAAACCTTTATAGTTAAATAATAGTCTTCCTATTTCATACAATGTTGCTGGCTTCTGAAACCCTTAATTGATATATTGTCACTGACAATCCCATGTTCTCAGCATATATTGAAGTTGACCTGTTTTTATCCTCCCTAACTTGTGCATGCCGTACTTGCAAGAGCAAGCTGAGTGTCGGCACCTATTCTCTGACAAATTTTTCAGCATAAATTATAATCTAGAAGTAAAAATACTCCTTGTAAAAAGCGCCTTACACCTTCAGTTACAGTCTGTGTCCAATCACAACTGTCCATCCCTGTGCAGGCCAACAGATAGTAGTCACTTATTGAACCCACCCTTGAACAGTAACTCACCTAATCTCTATCCCTAAAGTGACGTCAAAGGAAAGTCTGAGAAGGCAGCAGCACAGAACTTTCCAAGTCTGCCGAGGCAAGAAAAACATTACTTTTGTCATTATGGGTGTTGTGGTTTGCATAATCTTCTATTGTTTTGTCTTCCACGCTAAGTAGAAATTACACTTGTAGCTTTGGAATATATTCACAATAAATCACTTATAGAGTTATTCACTGTCTCAGCTCCACTTGATGCAAAAGCTGATTATTGCCACATATTCTTCTCACTATGAATATTATCCCATGAATCAGGGCCTCATCTGTATTCCATGTCCTGCAACCAGCCCCGTCTCACATTAAGAGCTGAGGCTCCCTATCCCAGCATGCTTTGTCTCTCCTTCATCTGAGCAGAAGGCCAAATGCTTGTTTTCTACAGCTTTGTCCATTTTCCAAAAAGCATATAATGAACTAATTAGCACTGATCAGAGGATATAATATGGCACTGAAGAATCTTACTAAAACTTTTGCTGTATCTTAATTAAGCAGTTCTAGAAAACCCATCTTCTGTAAATCCTTTATATACAAAATTTTCATGTTGCCAGAAACTAATGAGAGTTCTGTACACATTAAAGGTTTAGAAAGAAAGCAACATACCCAGCAACCTTTATCCCTGTTCTCCAGGCATGGAAGTGCAGCATGTAGATTTAAAATGCAGTGAAAGTATATGCAGCTGGGCAAATTGAAGCACAGCAGCAGTCTTGAAATTGTTCATGCTCACAGCACAACAAAATATTGAAATTCTCCTTAGATCACAGTAATCAAGAATGTTGCTTGTCTCGCTCTGAAACTGAACACTTGAAGCATAGCAATTCTGCTTTACTGATACTTTATAGGAAATCAGCATATGAAACCAAATGTAGCAGGACAAATATACAGGCAACTTGCTGTATGTTTACAACAAGATGCAGCACTTGCATTGTTTTTCATGCAATTGCTTTCCAGAGAAAAGACCAAGTTAAGAACAACTCTGGAAGTGTCAGTTAGCATCACAAAACTTGCATGAAAATGGAATAAATTGAATTTATGAAAATTGCTCCTTTGTTATGTTTTTCTTTTTGCCTTTTTTCCTACAAATAGGCATTTAAAAGTAATTGTAGGAATTAGAAGGCAAAATTGGGGTGAAGGGAAAGAGGTTGCAAATAGTCCAGGTTTAGTGGGGTGAGATCCTCAGCTCCTACAAAATCCTTTTCAGCATTGCAGTTCAGTGTCTTAACATGCCTTTCAAATGTGTTGCTGACAGTGAAGTTCATAGCTCTTGCATCAACACTTAGAACTCCATCTATGTGTGTTTTCTTACCTGTCATTATCACAAGCTTGATAACAAGACAAAGGCACTGCAGATTTTCTTCTTCAGCAGAATTCCAGCTGAGGCTTGGTTGCATGAGATAAAAAGAAATTAGGAGTTAAATTCCAAGGAGATATATGTGTGTGTGTGTGTAACCTATATGCAGAGTGTATTTACAGTAAAGCAAGTAAAACAATGGAGATAGGAAAAAAAAATTCCTTATATTAAGAAAAGCGTTATAAAAAATATTTAAACAAAATGTGTGAAAATAATGGCCCCTCACCACACACTCAAAAGAAAACTGAAGACCTCATTTTGGCACTACTTACAGAGACATTTTGATTAGCATTCCCTGAGGATAATCATTTTCCTGAAGAGCGAGCATAGATAAATGTAAAATACGAGTCATGATTTTAGCAAGAGCTTGCAATGATCTGTTTTAAAAACGATTAAAAAAAGAAAAGAAAAAAAAAAAAAAAACAGCCAAGAGATATAAGTAAGCTCATATTAATACAACCAGCTTTCACAATATCATAGAATCCTAGAATGGCTTGGGTTGGAAGGGACCTCAAAAGATGATCTGGTTCCAACTCTCCTGCTGGGGGCAGGGTTGCCAACCACTGATTAGGCTGCCCAGGAACCCATCAAGCCTTTCCTTGAATATCTCCAGGGATTATGTAACATTGCCAAAGCATACTAAAACAGGGGCTTATCGGATCTGTTCATCGTTTGTGTGAGATGACAGAGTTGCCCATTCCTCTGCTGTTGGCACAGCACTGCCAATGGATCACACTGCTGCAACTCAGTCCAAATTTTGATTCTGTCCCTTAATAATACTATTTAGCACAAATAATAACAGAAATAGAATTTGTACTGAGGTGGTGAATCTGCCTATATATCAGCATTTGGTGATCAGCAAGATCACCAAGACACTGGAATTGAACTTTGTATGTATTTCAGTCTCAGATGCTGAAAATCTAAATCTGTCTGGCTTTCTGACATGAAAAGCTGCTCTGATTTCAGACAAGCAACGCTCACTGTACTCCACATCAGGATTCTGGGGAACTCTTTCAGAGTCAGAATGCTGCCTTTCACCTCTCCATTCTCACCCCTTTTGGCTCTAGGAAAACAGAGATGGCATTTAGTGAGGGAATACCACGGTTCCATTGAATGCAGAGCTACAGTGAAACACCTGAAAAATAAATCTTGATAGCAACGCAGGACCTACCAGCTGTAGTCATTGATCCATTTTAACCTGATCAAAGAACAGTAATGACACTTACTTACAGTTGCCTGTTGTTAGGCAGATAGGTGTCAGGTCATTTGAGATCCAGTTTGCTTTAGGTCCTATAAAAAAACGTGGATAAGAGGCCAAAAAAAGGCATCATGCTGAGCCATGCCAATAGTCTGTCCATTCCACTCACTTGTCTGCAGCAGCAGCCCCAGTGCCCACATACAGCACTGTGAGAGCAGATGAGCACAGCGCTGCTTCCCCACCTCCAGCTCATATCAGCTCTGGCAGTTGCCCAGATCCAGATTCTTTCAGCTTTTCATCTCTTTCCTTACCATCTCCAGTTCTGTGAAAGACTTCTTTGTGGAAAAGGCTTCTTATCTGTGACAAGACAGATTCTGTGCTCTACCTAAAACAGACAAATTTTTACATTTAAATTTAATTAGAAAAAAATAATTTTCCAAATTTTTAAAGGTTTTGTGTATTTGTTTGGATATTTTGTTCGTTTGCTTTTTAACTAGAATTAAAGAGATTTGTGAAGGGTTACTATGATCACAGGAGAGGGTCGATCTCTACCAAATCATTGGATTTTCTTCTTCATTACGTCTTACATCCTTTCCTCCTGTGCACCTATTGTGTTCCAGGCTCTTAGATATCTAAGAAAGTAGGAAGTTCACAGTACGATAGAAACTTACCACTGTAGAACGTGTTCCTTCAAGTATCAAGTTTGGCATTTTAAAATTAGATTTGCCTGTGACAATCAGTAGTTGGAATCTGTGTATAAGAAGGTTTACAGCAAAACTGGTTCTGCACAGACACCTGCCCTTCTGTCAGTCACACAAGCAGAACAGAGGCAGTCTGAGAACATTAGTAAAAGATAAATGCAACTTGGAAGAATTACAAGTTTGAACCACCTAGGAAGTAACCTACTTCAAAACTTTTCCCATTCAGCATACTCCATGGGGTTTGGGACCCTGAATTGCACGCCCTCTGGCACTGCCCATCATACACTGCTCCCACCAGCAGCTGTCACAGCATTCCCAGGGGTGCTAAGGAGCAGGTGCATTAGCACCTGGTAGAAGCTTGCTGAGATAAGCACTAAATAGTGCTTTATTGACAGTACCTTTCACTGCTCCTTCAGTTCAGGGCACGCACAGTGCTCAGCCCTGGCTCGCAGCCTTTGCTCAGATGGAGGATGTGCACTGAAACACTCCAATAGCAAAAAATTGGAATTGGTGGTTTTGTAAGGTACATACCTGCATGGTGTCAGTGTCCCATGTCACACTCCTTTGCCTACCTACCTGTGTCTTCATTGCATTTTGCAAGTCAGTGTCACTGCAGATCTTTACTCTGAAGCAAGGGTGAGCATATGCATAAATCTGTCACAACAGATGTTACTTTTCTGTAGGGGAAACAAATTATCCTTAGAGAAAATGCCTATACCATAATCTGCTTTGACACGAGGGATTTACTTTGTCCCACTCAAACACATTTGCCCATTTACATTTTAAAAATTGTGGCCTTCAAAATGTTATCGCAGCTCTGCAGGAATCTTTCACCTTGGCAGACAGTGAGGCTTCTCACACATTAAATGAATGGCTTAGTGGTTTTATTGTGCTAAGCCAAACTAAGCACTTAACTCATTAATTCATCTCCACCACTCGTATTAAAGACAACCTGCTATTTAAAACGAGGCATACCTCTTTTCTCCCCCTCAAACTTTTACACAATCCCTTCTTTACTTAAACCTTGTCAGTCAGAGCCAGCACAGATCTGGAAGACAGAATGTTTTCTTTTTTTGGTGCTGCCTGAATTTTCCTTAAATTTCTTCACAGTTAAAGAGCTGCTGTTTGGCACAGCTTCTGAAAGTCAATTACTACGAGTACACAAAAGATTGCTAGGTTGATCAAGATATCTTAGCCATACTTGTAACATTTTAGTATGCCTTAAAGCAAACTCTTGTTTATTGAAACAAGCTTCACAATTAATTTATCGAGATACATGAATCTGCACAACCAATTCAACCATTCTTGCTAGCTCTGAATAATTCTGGATTTCCCAAGATATAGAACACACAAGCATGGCTTCAGTGGGGAAACTGGTGCTATTGGTCCATTTACAATCATATGCAAGCCTATTGCTCTGCTCCGAACAGAACTGTAAGAGGGGGGAGCAGCATCGTTACTGTGTGTATGGAACAAAGTGCTGTAAAACTGCAAAAATGACCCTAATTTTTCATTCTAGGACAGCGTCAAAACATGTAGACAAAGATCTCGGAAATATAGAAGAAAATAAAAAACTAGAAGAAAACAATCATAAATCTGAGACTTAAGAGACAAAATGTGTCAGTCATCATTCCAGGTAGGTGTTTCATACTGCAAAATTTAACATCTGGCCACTTCTTCTCTCTCTTGCAATCCATGTCTAACAATTACAGGATTAGCTCGGGTCTCTGTTGCTTACCTTTTGGGCATAGGAAGTAGAGTGGTTTTGGACTCTGGTGATATGAAGACAGACAGACTCAAGTCCCCAGCCAGTTACAAGTTCTAACCTGCATAGACACACATTGAAGAAATAAGTTATAAGTTAGATATAAGTTAGTACTTGGCTTTTTGGCTTTTTTTTTTTTTTTTTTTAATTGTGCACTTGGGGAACTGAAAAAAATAATTATATAATATACCACTGTGGTATATACCTACCTGTGCATTTGTGTGGTAGAAGGTGTGTAGGTAACATTTAGAAGGTTTTGAGTTATGGCTTTAAATGCTCACAGGAACACTCTTGCATTACTGGAAGCAATATTTCTTGATGGGCTTTATTCATCAGTGCTGCAAAAGGCACAAACCTTTTCTAAGAATAAAATCATTCTTTTATTCAGGACCTCACAAAGTGGTATGGTTTTCCACGTGCTCTTGGGAAGAGATACTGTATGTTAAGCTAGTAAAAGTGCAACAGGTATACAAGCTTGCCCAGCTGGGATCTGTGTAAAATAAAGTGTGCAAAAATAAACAGACACAGAAGTTCTGTCTGGAGTTACTGGGCACTATGAAGCACCAACAGCACCACCCAGTGCCTGCACGTCTATACACCACTGCTGCATACCCACATGCCATATCTTGCTACTTGGTACTCAAAGTGAGAGTTCAGAACATTTTTCTGAGCAACACAAGTAATTTTAGATTAACTTTGTGGTAGGTCACCATACTCAGTTTTCTTGAATTAATCATCAGCCGATCGTTAAAAGGGGAGTAGTACATGTTCAGCAGCACAGTGTTTGGAGTTCCTTGATAGAAAAGCAGTGGATGGCCCTGAGTAACTAAATAGCACTGGATACCTGTTCTGGGCTGCAGGACTTTCAAGCATATGGTGGGATGATCACATTTCTCATTTGCATAAGAATACAGCTCTGATTATGGATCATTTCACTACGTTAGTACTATCTGAAATTTAAAAATAAACCTCATTATTTTTGTACTAAAAAAGAATGATTATAGGGTATATGAAGAGATGCAGTATTCCTGTGTGCCCTTTTGTTGGAGTTTCCTTGCGATTGGGAATTTCCAAATAGTACCTTATGAGTGACTTAAAAGTCTTAAAAGTGAAAACTAAATTTGGATTTTGAAAAAGTCACAGTGTACATACATTCCTACAGGAAAATTCTGCCATCTCCTCAGCTGGGGGTCATTCTGCATTTGTTTGTTTTTCTGGACTTTGTACTTTCCACGGCATTGCAATATTGAGGGGATTGGGTGGAGACGAAATTGCTGAAGGTGTTTATTGGCCGTAGCAATTCAAATTAGCATCACAAGCCTTCAGTGCCATCTTTTATTACAATTTTTTATATTGTTGGGTCAGTAGTCCTGCATCAATTAAAGCTTATCCGTAAGTACATTACCTACCAGATAGACTTTGCTTTAGGAACTACATTGCAACAGCTGCTATCATGAAGGAAAGTGTTCTTTTAAACTGGGAGAAGAAAGTATTCTATAGATTCTATAATCATAGAGTCGCAAGATTGGAAACGACCTGCAAGATCATCTAGTCCAACCCTCCTCTCATTACCTTTGCTACCACAAGCACTAAACCATATTTCGTAGCTCCTCATCCAGACGCCTCTTGAACACTGCCAGGGATGGCGACTCCACCACCTCCCTGGGCAGCCATTCCAGTGCCTGACCACTCTCTGAGAGAAAAAGTTCTTCCTTTTGTCTAACCTAAACCTCCTCTGGCACAACTTGTGGACATTTCCTCTGGTCCTGTTTGTTGCTTGGGAGAAGAGGCCAAACCCTTCCTCATCACAGCCTCCCTTCAGGAAGTTGTAGAGTGCAACGAGGTCTCCCCTGAGCCTCCTCCAGACTAAATAATCCCAGCTCCCTCAGCTGCACCTTGTAAAACTTGTGCTCCAGACCCCTCACCAGTTTCGTTGCCCTTCTCTGCACACGTTCCAGGGCCTCAGTGTCTTTCTTGTAGAGGGACCCAAAACTGAACACGTACTCAAGATACAGCCTTACCAGTGCTGGGTACAGAGAGATGATCACCTCCCTGCTCCTGCTGGCCACGCTATTTCTAATGCAGGCCAGGATGCCGTTGGCCCTCTTTGCCACCTGGGCACACTGTCAGCTCGTGCTCAGCTGAGCATCAGCCAACAGCCCCAGGTCCCTTTCCTCTTCACAGTCATCCAGCCACTCATCCCCAAGCCAACAGTGCTGCATGGGGTTGTGGCCAAAGTGCAGGACCCAGCACTTGGCCTTGTTGAACCTCATCCCATTCACCTCAGCCCAGCAATCCAGCTTACCTCGATCCCTCTGAATGGCCTCCCTACACTCAGGCAGATCGACATCACCTCCCAACTTGGTGTCATCTGCAAACTTACTGAGGGTGCACTCAATCCCTTCATCTAGGTCATCAATAAAGATATTAAACAAGATGGGAAGTACTGCTAATTAGCTTTTTGTGTGGGGGTCAGAATGCTGAGCAGTTATGTTGATTAACATGTTTAAATCTAAACCTGCTTAACTGCCTTTATCTTTCGTGTTTTCAGAGAATACATATAGACCAATTGAAGCATGAACGTGGATTGTATTTAAACGTATACAAAGAAGTGACAGCTATTCATGGTTCAAGTATTAAACAGATCATACTACCAAGTTTTCAGCGGATTTTAGACACAATTATCTCAAGCTAAAACAAACAAACAACCAACAACAACAAACAAAACAACAACAAAAAAAACCCAACCCACAGAATAACTAATTTTGGCAACAGCCATGATAATAGGTCACCATGTTGTGTTCTGTTTAAACTATTTTTTTGTAAATGTCTGCACTGAAGATTTCTTTTTGTTTGCCTTTATGTAAATTTTTTACGTAGCTATTTTTATACACTGTAAGGCTTTGTTCTGGGAGTTGCTGTTATTCTGATGTATAGTGTAATGGTTTGATTTCAATTGTTTTTATGGCACCCTTTGGGCAGGTACATGTCTAATTCTGATTGTTATCAGTGAAACCTCTGCTTTGTAGCAAATACCTAAAGCGTAAGATTGTCTTAAAGGAAAACATTGATCTCCTTTTTCATTTTTTAGAAGTCACAGTAAAGAGGAGAGGTGACAATTGTGACAAAAATAAGCCGAATTGTTAATAACAGTGAGAATTTAAGAAAGCCGAGGGAAAGCGAACAGCCAGAAAGGGAATAAAGAATTTCAATGGAAAAGGCTGGGGGCTGAGCAAGGAACACAGTGAAACACTCATAGCCTACGTGCAGATGGTGGCCTGTGGTCCTTTCCTTCTAAAGCAAGGCGTACGTTTTACTCATGCATTGCCTGTTGTCCTTCGTGTTAAAATTAGGGTAAGGAACTGGATTTCTGGTTTGGTTTTGATTCCTTTACGTTATCCGCTGCCTTAAAGTACTGTACCTTTTCTTCATTTCAAAGAGATATCAGTCAGAATTGGAGATTTTTAAAAAAAAGTGGTCATATCAAAGCTGCATTTTTTTCCACAAAAATAGAATATATATATTTTTTGTGTGTTTTGTTAACTATGCTACAGATATTGAATGCACCTTGAGATAATTTTAGTGTTTTTAACTGGTACCTAATTTATCAAACAGTACATATAATTGTAACAATGAAATGTCTATGTATCTTTAGTTACATTCAAGTTTGTAACTTTATAAACATGTTTTAAGCTTGAGGAAATTTTTAGAATGGTACTGATAAGAAAATGGTTTAGGGTGAATGGCTGATAGAGAATTGTTGTTAAGGGAGAGGGAAGTTTCATTCTGCGCGGATGGATCGTTTTGGGAAGAAAGTGATAGGTGGATTGATGGAGAGGAACAGCAAAGCACGCAGAACATCAGGTTTCCTTTTACAAATATCCAGGGAAAAAAGTATGTTTTTATAGACTGGTAGGCAAAAAAGAATATAAATAAATAAATAAAAGAAAGAGATGGACGTTAGGAAATGTATTTTGCCACTTTTGCATTATTTAGGGGGGAAGAAAACACTGTTACTTGTAAATTTGTAAAATGTTATATGTCTGGGCAGTAGTGACTGATGTCTTAATAAAAGCTTCCTGTAGTGCATTGGCATGGATTAAAATACATAAGAAGTCCTATAGACTCTATGCTGTATAAAATATTAGAGGGAAATCCTGTTATATGCCTCTAAACTTTTGATTTGTTACTGTTTTATTTGGCAAAGAGGAGAAAAAAAAATTATAATCTTGGTCAGTATTTAAACCAAAGTAAAATGGGGGAAAAACCAAAGTGATTTGTTTTGCATGGCTAAGCCATTATGTTATCTCTGTAAATATTGTGATTTTTTTTTTCTTTTTAGAATTTTGTTAAAAAAATTCTAAAATTTTTAAACACCTGTTTTTCCAAAATAAAACGTGAACACACAAAGCAGTTACTTTATATACAAATCTATCTTTTTTTTCTTTTGGTGCGAGAACACTGCCAAGTGATAACACATTTTTTTAACAAATCACAGTGGGCGTGACTCTAAACAGGAAAAAGTTGCAACGGAATACTGGGAAGGAGTATGCAAAAATCAACTGTCTGTTTATAACACTACAAATAGTTTTTAAACACAGAGAAGAAACCTCCAAAGATCATCAGGGAAAGCATAGGGAAGGGTTGAAAATGTTCGTACCACTGTCTTGGGAGCATGGTGGAAGAAGAGAAGAATAAAAGTCCTTCGACTTCCACAGCTATGAGAAAGGAATTAGAAGACCTTCTCATCCTTTGGAATTCTGCTAGATCTCCTATGCACTTTAAATCGTCAGTCCTAGGAGCCGCGTTTTTCACTGCTCCACGTTCACTGTAGGCACGTTTCAAGAACCAAGAGCGCAAAAGAATTGATGTTTCTATCCATGCCTAAACAACAATAAAACTGAAGTATATCTTCACTTGCCTGTCTGAAATCTCACTTTGAAAGAACACACATGAATGTGAGTGGGGCACTTTACTTACCAAGCTTGTGCTGTTGCTGACTGTGATACTGCAAATATACGTCTGCAGAATCCCACTGGTGCAGAGTCCCATGAGGTCTGGGGAGTTGTGTGTGGCTGTATGGACCTTCTCTCTCAGCAGATGGTCGGGACCTAGAGAGAATCAGCACTCACTTAAGAGAAATATAACTGTCCCATGCTGCCTCATAGGTACCTGATACCCCCCCCATGAGGTTGGCACGTGTCTCCACATGCAACCTTGTTAAAAGAAACACTCTTGGAAGGACTCTTAGGGGTCCTGTTGAAATCTAATGTTGTACACCGCTCCGGTGTCAGCTTCAATTTACCACATGTAGGAAGGAAAAAAAAATCCCTCCACAGAAATGGTTTAAAACAAAAAGAGCACACAGTGGAACAAACCCAACCTCTACCTCTTGAGGTTGGGAAATTAAGACTGGTTGTGATATCTGTTCATGGCTGTACAGAAAACTGTCACTGAGCTTGGAAAAAACCAAGAGGTTGTCTGCATGGTGCAGAAGCAGCATCCTGCAAGGAGAGCCCATAGGCTTCTCAAGCCAGCCATTTTTTAAGACCCCAGAAGCAATATCTCAAAACTACAGCTCAATGTAATAGATGAACAAAACACTAGCACAGAAACATTTGGTAATGGCATGTCCAAAAGGTGAGGCCTTCTGAAGGAACAGTGAGTGCTTGGAATCAACATGACAAAAGGCAAAGCATCAGGTGGATTTTGCTTGCTTTCCAGGATTTTATGCACCTCCAACTATACTTCTTGAGTTAGCAAATGTTCAGACCGTTAACTGGTGTTAAATTCTTACCAGATTGTTTACCAGTAAAACAGACTATCCACATGCCATCATCTGTACTGCCCATGACATGCCATCATCAACCAGCAATATGGATGGTTCAGGCAATATGTTACAACTTTCCCTGCACACAGAGTTTTCATGATGATGTTCTGCTTTGAAATACAGAGACAAGTCAGTAACTTCTAAATTGCACATTGATGACTTGAGCATAATGGAATGCTGACACGTTTCACCCATATTGGTAGCAGCCATAGAGACAAGCAAAGGTGGTGTTGTGGTTTTTTGTTTATTTTTTAAGTAATTTCTTCATGGAACTTGCAAGTTCATCTAATATCCTCAGCTGTTGCAGTTCAGTCTGATTTACTTGTACTACCACATGTAGCTGGTAGCCAGGTACTTTCCTGTTGGCTTCATGTTTTGTGTCATTGCATGTGTGACGGTCACACATTTGCAGTTATCTCAGCTAAGATTAATGATGACATATGGAGTGAGATCATGCCCTCCTGTGTCAAACACATCTGTGCAAATGTTTTCTTTTGATGAAAAAGCATTTCCATCCAGGTATCTGCTTCCAAAAATTAACTGCTACAGCTTTTTTGAACAGTGTGCTCCTGCAGTCAAGATAGCCTAAGCTGTGGAGTTGGAGAGAACACAGGAGGCCCATGACTTCTGCACATTACATACCTGTGTCTCTGGAAGAGGGTGGGATCCTCGGGCTGGCAGAAACCATCTTAGCTCCAGTGCTGAACAGGGGGAACCTCAGCCTTTCCTCACAGCACTTTGCTACAGGCTGAGCACACTGTAGTACTACAGGAGGGCAGGGAGCAAGGTGGAGAGGCTGAAAAACAAAATGGAACATACATACAAAAAAACCCCACCACCACACATTAAAAAGTGCTTCATGTGTCACGCAGCACACACATTTAATAATTTGTTTCAAATTGTCAGAATCAGTAGCTAAGTTTATTACTTATTATCTAATTACATCAAAATCAATTTATTAACTAAGATCAACTCCAGCCAGACAGCCACTCACTATCAGCCACTCGGTTCTTTAAAAGTCCTGTAATTTGCACATTTTTCTAAATAGAAATATTTACTCTGTTAGCAGCAAAGCACTCACTTTGATGTAGTAATGAATTTCAGCTTGAAAAGGTAGAGACTAAGTATTATGAAATTTTGTTCCTTAATTAGAAAACAGTAACGTACCTCCACCATATGTCCTCATCCCCAAATATTTTTCTTGTTCTCATGTTTTCATCTGATGTGCAGAGAAGGCCTGTGCAGTCCTGCATGTCCTGTCCTAGTGCTTTCTCTCATCTCCTGTGATGTGCAGATTGATTCCCAGCTGCCCTCACCGTCGCTCGTTTATTTGCAGGACAGGTTATTTTTTTGGCTCACCCTCCTCCTCCCACTCCCACAACAACACATAACATAAAATAAATGGCATGCAGGAATTTTCACCCTGGAATGTCAGCACAAGCACTGTGTTTAAGGACATATCTTTTTTCATGTGTTTCAGCTCATACAGCTGTGATACAAGGACTATTGCAGACTGCCCAGTCCTGTGCTTGAGAGGGACCTGAGGAGAAAGGCAGCATCCTACTGCTTTAAGAACAGATCCAGTTTACTTTAAAGTCATTTCCATCCATTTACTTTCTCACCTTTAAAACTTTCTCTGTCTTTTAGTCCAAACCTGGTCCAAAGAAGGGCAACAAGGCTTGCGAAGAGCTTGGAGAATGTGCCCTATGAGGAGAGACTGAAGGAACTGGGGCTGTTTAGTCTGGGGAAGAGGAGGCTGAAGGGAGACCTTATTGCTCTCTTCCAATATCTGAAAGGTGCTTATAGTGAGAGCAGGGTTGGTCTCTTCTCACTTGTGACAGGATGAGGGGAAATGGCCTCAAGTTGTGCCAGGGTAAGTTTAGGTTGGATATCAGGAAAACCTTCTTTACAGAAAGGGTTGTTAAGCACTGGAATAGGCTCCCCAGGGAGGTGGTTGAGTCACCATCCCTGGATGTGTTTAAAAACCATTTGGATGTGGTGCTCAGGGACATGATTTAGCAGACGATTGTTAGAGTTAGGGTAGTATGGTTAGGTTGTGGTTGGACTCAATGATCTTTAAGGTCTTTTCCAAGCTGAGCAATTCTATGATTCCAACCTCACTCAGAAAAACACTGTGTAATGCAGTTCACATTAAAACAGGTGAACTGCAAATCCAGAAGAGGCTCAATGCCTCTGTGACCTCAAACCTGCACCATCTCTCCCGATCCTTTTTTCCCCTCACAGGGTTCTCACCAAAGCAGGGAAGTAACCACTGTACAAGTACATCACTGATGGCAATTTGAGTTCCCCAGAGCTAGCGAGCAAACACACACACTCAGATGGTGTTGCAATTGTTTGATCATATCTACGCACCAGCTCTGAGATTTCATTACCATTTGCAGCTGTCAGAAGATGGGCGAGCCCAGTGCTGCCAACAGAGTGCATTTGAAAGGAAGAGAGTAATTGAATCTAAATTCAGGAAATGAAATGAATTAAAGAATCGAACAAAACCTCATATAGATAAAATATTTCCGCAAATTCAATTTCAGCATTGTTGATATAAAAGCGCTCTCTGTTTTTATTAATGCAAACAAAGAAATATCACCCTCATTTCCTTGAGAGTAAAGAAAGTAAACAGAGACAAATGCAAGTGGCCAAAGCAAAAGAAACAGGATGGGGGAATCAGACCAGACAGACTTTACGTGATGATAAAACTGGAGTTACTGAGATTACCAGAGGGTAGAATAACACAATTCCAATTATACGTGCAGCGCCTTTCTAACCCCAACTTGCTGTACATGGAAGGAATTCCTTTTGCAGCACAGTCCAGTTTTGCTGCATGTCTTCATAGAATCGTAGAATGGCTTGGTTTGGAAGGGACCTCAAGGATCACCAAGCTCCAACCCTATTGCCGCATGCAGGACCACCAACCTCCACACTTCATACTAGACCAAGCTGCTCAGGGCCCCATCCACACCTCAGGGACAGGGCACCCCCAGCCTCTCTGGCAGCCTGTTCCAGCACCTCCCTACTCTTGGTAAAGAACGTCTTCTGCTAAGTGCCAGGTCCCGTGTTTTCCTAATTCAAAATATACATTGCTGAATCACAGCAGTGAGAAAGCAGATTTTTCCCTGAGATTTCTGTCAGGTAAGGGTGAGAAGTTTAGCAACCAGACCTGGCAGTAGTGAGAAGCTCTTCAGAAGAGTGATATTCATGGACCACCTCCTTCTGCACTGTTGCTGGCCTGAGAAATCAGTCATCTGGTCTTTCAAAAAAGGGGTGAGGGAGAGAAAGAAAGGGTGAAGTTACACAGAATTAAGAGCATAACTCACTGAAAGTGCAAAATCTTTCAAGAAACGTAAAAAAAAAAAAAAAAAAAAAAAAGGAAAAAGAAAATGGAGATGATAACGTTGCTGTGATCACAGCCTTTAATGATATACTGCAAGTGCAGCGTTCCATCCACATGCTGTCTCTGATGCTCTCTCTGGAGTGCTTATTTAAACATTTGCTCTCCATTATCTATACACTTTGCTACATTTACACTAGCTGTATGATGCTAATAGCTATCCCCAGGAACAGATCTGCACCCAACACAGACAGGCATCCCTTATAAAGCCGCTAGCCTCAGTGGCCCTTTATCTCCAATGAAGGAAGACATTGAATCTCTTCACGCCGCTCCATAGGGAGCAATTCTTAACATCGGGCAGAGGTAAAAGTAACAAAACATTCATCTAGTTCCAGTTGCAGCAAGACAGAGATATAAACACTGAAATGTAACTTTAACCATTATGGAAAGTGTGCAGGCAGTTGGGATTAAGCAGGATGTATTTGCTTCCTGAATAGTTGGCAAGGTCTGAGAGCTGAAGCAGCAGAAGCAGCAGAAGCAGCTGGAGCAGCCCTTGCTGAGGCACAGCCCAGCTCTCTCCCAGCACCAGATACCAAGAGAATATGTTAAACATTTTCACTTCTCCATTCAGCAAAGTTCAACTCAAGGTCCAGAAATGGACTGAGTGGAAAAAAAGCTGCCTCGTGACCTGTGCAGAAGGTTGAAGCCTGTTCAGGTCCAGGACTGTGACCAAACACAAACAGTTTGGCTTTTCCACACATACCAAAGACTGCTTTTGTTACAATAATTTGGTTTTCAGAGTAAAATACATTTACATAAATTTACATGTGAAAAGTACTCAAATGTATTTAAAGGTATTATTAACCAATAAACCTATCACAAATGATATTTTAATGCATTTGGTTCTTTCACCCAGCTGGATCTTGACACCAGACAACATGAGTATGATAAGTATTCCAGCATAAAAATGCATTATTCACCATCCCCTGTGAATCTGCCTGGAACACAAGGCATGGCATTTCCTGCTGGTAGGGCATGTGGAAGAGGCATGGAAAAAAAAAAAACAAAAAAAAAACAAAAAAAAAACAGGGAACAAGGCTACATTAAACAGCAAAAGCAACAGAATTTCTGTTTGGGAAAACATCCTCTCTGTTTCCACCATCCTGAAGAGAATTTTGGTATGAAAATATCACACCAGCACACTCATTTTGTTTTGCTGATGCTGATTCACTACTACTACGTTCTAGCTAATTCAAAAGCCAACACAGCAGGACAGAGGAGGTCAGAGAGGAAGTGTCAGAAACCAAGCAACCAAGATGGAACAAGTAACGAAGTTACTCAGAACACATTGATGCTGACCAACAATCACTAGGAAAGATACAAAGGAAGTTAGATGAGGGACAAGAGTTTTCTGAAAAAGTAAAGCAATATCTGAAGATTTCACAGGGGAAAAATGTCAGGTTACCCAGGGAAAAAAAAAAAAAAAAAAAAAAAAAAAAAAAAAAAAAAAAAAAAAGCACTGCAATAGTA